CGTTTTCCCTGGAGGCTCTGAGAAAGCTCTGGAAGGGTCTTGGGGTGGTCTCTGCAGAGGCAGCTCTCTGCCTGGTGTGTGCTGTGGGGTCTGGAGCTGGCAGCACCTGGGTGAGGGCTGGTGGGCGCCCCACAGGCTCCCAACAGCACCACCATGGGCTTGCTGTGGTACTCCCAGCCCCAACTTGGCAGGCACTGCAGTTCTCACCCAGCCAGCCTGGGTTGTCACCGTGATGTCACCATGTGCCAGTGTGTGCTACTGATCCTGTCATGAGGCTGCCAAGTCCTCAGTCACTTGTAGCCACTGAGGGCTACAGCAAGACCACAGGGCATCTCTGTGGCGCCCTAGCCTGGCTGTGCCGAGACCCCACCAGTTCACCCCTCCAAATGGTGCTTCCTGGGTTTTCCCTGGGCTGCTCTGAGGGAGATGGGGCAGAGTGGGTTTGCCCCTGGGCCAGCCTGGCGTCCCTGGAGTGAGCAGCTCCATCCGACTTGAAGGTAAACATGGGGACATCTGTGTCCTTGCTCCTTTCAGCCCTCACCCTCCTTTCAGCTTGGGCCCCTTGTGCTGCAGGAGGATGCTCCTGCTAGAGTCACAGAGCCTGAGGTGCCCACGCTCTGCTGGCCCTGCTGGGGCATCTCAGAGTTGGTCCCTCTGCATGACCCCATCTGCACTGCGTGTGTGTAGGCAGAGGGGCAGGTACCTAGGGTGCAGGCCTGTGGGACCAGAGAGTCGAGGGAGCCAAGCGTCAGCAGGTGCTGGGGGCAGGCAGATCCTGTGGGCCCGGCCACATGGATGGTGCTTGAAAGGACACAGTGGGCCTCCGTGTGGGAGCTGGTGAGTCCATCCAGAGCTGAGCTTTGGGAACTGTGGGTCGCCAGCTTGCGTGGTCTGAGCTAACAGTCTGTGCTCTGTGCCCTCCAGTGGCCACATCGAGTTGCCCCACACAGTGTTTAAAACAACAGATGTTCCCTGACAGCTCTGAGGTCAGAGTCCAAAATGGACTAAAATCAAGGCAGGCAGGACTGGTYCCTTTGGAGGCTACAGGGAGGGTAGCCCCTCCTGCACCCTCAGAGCCGCAGCGAAGGGCCTTCTGGTCTTCTGGCCTCTGCTCCTGTTGCCACAGGCCTTCCTCCGGCTCAGCCTTCCTTCCTCCCTCTCATCTTTGGGTTGCTTTGTCCCACCTGGGTAACCCAGGATGCTCTCGGTCCCAACTGCAAAGTCTCTCTAAGGTTCTGGGATGAGGCTCTTTGGTTTTCTTTCTTTGGTGCTGGGGATTGAATCCCGGGGTGCTCTCCTACTGAGCCACCTCCCCAGCCCTTTTAATTTTTTAAACCTCAGACTTGCGGTCTTCCTGCCCAGCCCCAGAGTCTGTGGGACTGCAGGTCTGTGCTACGTGCAGCACACACTGCACGAAGGCCCTGTGCCTGTGGCTGCCCAGGTACGGCCAGAGCCGTGGCAGGCTCAGCAATCCGGGGGTGGCTCTGCTCTGCCACAGTGTCGGCCCACCTTGGAAGTTCAGGGTAGGGGGACACGCAGGGGCCCATGGAGTGGAGAGCCCTGCCTGGCTGACCCAATGCCCACCTTCCTGTAAGGGGGATTGTCTCCGTTCACAGGGTCCTGGTTCTCAGAGCTGGGGGACCCCAGCAAATCATCTGGCCCATGCCATCCCGTGGGGAGACCCCAAACCCTCTAGCCTTGGACTGACTTTCTGGGTCTAGATGCTGACTCTGGGGCCAGAAGCCATGTGCTATTTCAGGGTGCCCTGGGTGCGCCCTGTCACGGACTCCGTCTCCTGGCATGGCAGTTCCGAATCCCCACACAAAAGTTTCATGACCAGGAAGGGCTTGGGGCTGGGTCCATGAGCCAGGCAGGCGGGGGTCTGTGTACTTCAGGAGGGAGCCCGGGGCTGGGAGAGGGGAGTGCCGGGGTGGGGGGACTGGGAGCTGAGTGTTCCTGTCTGCACTGCAGGAGGCTGCGGCTAGCCATCACGTGCAGGTGGGTGTGAGCAGGGAGGCCACTGCTGTGCAGGGTCAGTGCAGCCCAGGAGTGGGGAGCCAGCCAACGGCCCTACTGACTTTACCTTTGCAGCCAGCAGGACCCAGTCCTGGGCCGGCCCCGGGGCTCCAGGGAACCCTGTGGCTGAGTGCAGGCTGACAGCCTCCAGGGCTGGCCAGCTCTTAATAAGCCCCTACTGTTTGCCTGGCCAAGCGCTGCTGTGTGATTCACCGTCACCTTTTAGGGATCTGGGCTAGGAGAGCCCTGAGCTGTGGGTGGGGTGGGTGCTGTTGCCCACCCCCACAACTGACTCTCCCATCGTGGGGGTCAGGGTCCTGACCCCACTATGCCCTGGGTCCCTCTGTCTCTTTGGGGTCCTGCTGGGGGCCACTTTGCTTTTAAGCTTCCCGAGAGTCCTCCTGGCCTCCCTCTGACTTCCTGGTAGGTAGCCTCGGGGCCTAGGAGGGACCCTGGAGTCTGTCCAGAGCAACTGTGGCCTGTGCGTGGAGCAGATGGTCCTGGAGGCCCAGGCCGAGACGCAGGCCTGCTGGGGTTCTTCTGCGTTGTCTGGTGGCCAGGCAAGTTCTGAAGGGGTGGGCAGCAGCCTCTCTGCAGCCTGCTGAGTGGCCAGGCCTGGGGCAAGCTTGGGGACGGGACGCTCTTTCTTGCTCTGGCCATGCTTTAGGCTCTCGGCACCTTCACAACCGGGCTYAGGTGGCTGGGGTTGGGGTGGGAGACTCTGGGGCTGGCGTTTGAATAGGGAGCGCAGCAGATGGGAGGCAGAAGGTGGGGAAGGCCTGGGTGGTCACTGCGGAGAAGGGGACCTGCTTGAGCATCGGGTGGAATTAGAGCCCTCRCTTCCCGGCAGCCCTCGGGCCAGGCCCCTGCCAGCCAGCCGCCCGCTTGCCCCTGGATGTCACACTTTCTCCTGGTGTGACCTCCATGAGGAAATCCTGCAGCACTTCAGCCACGCTGAGCTCCTCTTTCCCCCGGAGACTCGCCAGAGGTTGGGATCGCTGTCCTGCCTGGCCTGGGGGCCCCCGCCACCGGGCCGTGGCTCACACACAGGGCGTATGGCCCCTGCTACAGCAGTCCACACTGCCCTTTCTTTCTGATCAGGGACACTGGTCTGGGTGRGTGAGGCTGGCAGATGAAGGGTCACCTTGCCTGAGCAATAGGTGTGGACTTCAGTCCTGTGTCTGCTGCTCCGGGGGCTGTTTCTGTCCCTACCCAGGGGCAGCTGCTCTCCGTCACTTGGGCAGTCAGGCCTTACATGGCCTTTCTCTCAGGTTTCTTTAGCCTCTGCCAGAAGGCTGCCCCTCAGCTGTGCCCAGGGCATGGCTGGCACTTCAAAGCCTCCACCATGTCCAGAGGCCCAGGACCTCCAGGAGAGAGCTCCTGAATTATTACTTTCTTTTCCTTTTTGGTTCTGGGACTGAACCCAGGTGTGCTCTACCACTGACCCACATCCTCAGCCCTTTTTTATTTTCATTTTGAGACAGGGTCTCTCTAAGTTGCTGAGGCTGGCCTCAAACTTGGAATTTTCCTGCCTCAGCCTCCTGAGTGCCTGGGATTACAGTCGTGCCCCACTTCACAAGCCTCCCCTGGAATTCTTCTGGATTTCTTAGCATTAAAGGGGTCACTGGAATGCTCTGGGCAGTGCTGGGCAGGGGGTCCACCAGGAGGTATGCACACTGGTGTTGGGGACGACCCCACTTTCTGTGCTGTTTCACCTACCTCCCTCCCTGGCTGGAAGTTCGTCCATCTGGACAGAAGGAAGGCCGGAGGGCAGGGCAGGAGACCGGGCACCCTGAGCCTTCTGCACACGCATGCTTTCCTGATGCAGTCCTGACAGGGTGGCGAGGCCTGGGGGCAGCGTCCTGGCCTCCAGCCCTGGAGAAGGGCCCCAGGAAAGCTCTTTCCCAAGCCTCCAGTTCACATCCTGTCCTGTCTGCTTGCCCTTTGGCCTGAGCCATGGTGCTGGGGTGCTGGGGTGCTGGGGTGGGCGGCCATTGAGCAGCAGGTGGACGGCACAGGGGGTGTGTGTGTGCTGGGCTGCCGTGTGCTGGGCTGCCGTCTGCTGCCCTTGTTCTCTGTGGCTAGCAGAGACCCCACCCGTCAGCCCCCAGGTGTGGAAGTCAAGGCTGCCCTCTTCCTCCTTCCCTTGGCCCAGGATCTCTAGATCTGAGCCCTGCTGGAGGTGCTGCCCCGAGGCGCTGAGAGGGCCAGGTGGCTCAGGTGGCATGTGGCAGGGGCAAGGTAGGAGGGGCCTCAGGACKGGCACTGCTCAGGGGCTGCTGTCCTGGGGATGTGGCCCTGCTGTCCTCCTGGCCCAGCAGGGGAGAGGGGCCGGGAGGGGGCACCCAGTCTGAATCGCTGCATTCAAGTCCTGGGGCTGTTGTAATAAGTCGCCAGGTGGCTTGAGACCCCTGGAGCCAGGAGGCCAGGATTCCCAGGGCCTCTYGGAGTGTGTGGGGTCCTTCCTGCCTTGTCCTTCCCACCCCTGRCGGCGGCCGTGGATGCCCAGGTGGTGGCCTCCTCACTGCGTTCTGCTGGGTGTCCACTCGCCCTTTCCCATCATGACCCCCACCCTCCCCTTAGCGCACCTGCAAAGCACAGGCCGTGTTCTGAGGTTCCGGAAGGACGTGTACTGGGCGTGCTCAGCCCAGGTCACMACCCCCACCCTGCTGTGGCTTCGCCTCAGCCTGGGGGAGGGGTCGGGGGGCATCTCGAGGGTCATCAGCTTCTGGGCTCGTGGGCCACGGTGGAGTGGACCTGGGCTCTAGGGGACAGCTGTGCTCCCTGCTCAGCCTTGAGGTGCTGGGGCCTCACCTCCCCAGCCTGCTCCCCTCTGCTGCACCCCATCTCCCATTGGGCCCGAGGTGGCAGCTCTTCCTGCCCACACATGCCAGCCGTGGGGAGGCTGGGCCCTGCCTCTGCACTCGGGAGGCTGTTCTGGCCTGGTGGGTCCCTGGCTGGTAATCCTGCCCCTCCCTGCCCAGATGTGGACGAGTGCCGTGTGCACAACGGAGGCTGCCAGCACAGGTGTGTCAACACGCCCGGGTCCTACCTCTGCGAGTGCAAGCCCGGTTTCCGGCTCCACGCCGACGGCAGGACCTGCCTGGGTAAGTGCTGCCTGGGGACCCTGTCCGCCTCTGACCTCGGCTGCCCTGTGCTCCTGGGTGTGCCAGGTCTGGGGAAGGCCCGGTCCCTGCCCCCGAGGGGCTGAGGCCTGCCTGGGCTCTCACTGGGCATGGCCTCGGTGGCCTCAGCTGTCGCTGCAGAGGGAGTGTGGCTGCCACTGAATGTGGCCCTGTCCTGCTGTGGGGCATGACGGCTCCACCCGGGTGAGGTGAGGCCAGCGGGTGAAGAGTGTGTCCGGAGGCGCTGACTCAGGTCCCTGAGACCCCAGGCTGCCCTCCCTCTGCAGCCTGCCCAGTTCCATTGGAAAGCCGAAGCTGTCTGTGGTGTGTGCTGCCCTCGAGACTCGGAGCCTCGGGCTGCTCTCCGGCGGCCGGGGAGGCTGCCTGGGTCCCGCGGAAGGCGGGCATGTGAGCCGTGCCTGGCCCGCCGAGCTGGCTTCTCGGGGACTCGGAGTGTGCGCTGCGGTAGGTGGGGAGTGGGGCGTGAGCCCCTGGCGCCCAGGGTCCTCTCGGCATCTACTGTGAGCTCAGTGGCGCCTGAGGACACAGACTTGGCCTCCGCCACTAGGGGAGACAAAGGGAGGCCAGGAGCAGCTGAGCCAGGGGGCTGCCCAGGAATCTGGTGAAGAGCAGTGCTGCCCCGCACTCTGCCCCGGCTCTGGACGCAGTGCTCTGGGGGTGGGCCTGACCCTCCCGCTGGCCTCTAGGGGGCACGTGGAGTTGGCCTCTAGGGGACTGAATGAGACGCCCCTTCTTTCCACCCTGGAGATCCAGAGTGGAGCCCCAGCTCCCTCCTGGTCCTGGCTCCTGTGGCTGGCAGCCTGCCAGCCCCAGGGGGCCGCTCTCCCACACGCAGCACATGTCCTTCGCTGCTCYGGGAGCCAGGCAGCTGCCCTGGGTGGGAGAGCAGAAGCAGCTGCGGGAATGTTGTGACGTGCTTCAGGGCAGATGAGCTGGGCCCAGCCGGCTGCCTGCTGCCGCTCCTGGGAGCCCTGGCAGGGACTCAGTGGCCTGGGGTCCCCTGGTCCCCGGYGGCCTCCTAGAAGAGTGGCTTTGGGAGGGACATGTCATCTTTGGGGTCTGAGGTGGGGTCCCCTGCTGCTGGCCTCCTGCTGTTGTGGGGTGGGACACTCACTCCCATCCCGGTTCCCACTGCCTGATGGTCGCCTTCCCTGAGTGTGCTCCCAAAGGGACCAGGACCAGGGTGGGAGGGGTCATTAACCTGCAGAAATGAGGGACGCTCCTGAGGTCTGAGTGAGCTGCTGGCCTCAGGCAGCCCAGGAAGCATGCCCCTCAGCCTGGCCTGTCCCCTGCCCCCTCTGCCCACTGCTCTCTGGGCCATTCCTGGAGCTAGGCCATCTGGGATCTGCRCACTTGGGCCGGAAGTCTTCCTAGGCACAGGTGTGTTTTAAAGGGTCTCTGCAGGGTCAGATGCCAGGGCTCCTGGCTGTGGGGAGCCTCTGGGCCCCCCAGCCCTCCTGGCTGTCCCAACACTCCGCCTGTTTGTGTGGTTGGGCTCTCCAGAGCTTCAACACCTTCCAGGTTCTGGTGTCCACCTCCAGGCCTCTCCCAGCTGAAGGTCCAGCCGGGACTCAGGCACTTCGGTGGGCTGCAGGRTAGTGACCTCAGATTCTCCTTGGACTGCAACTCTCAGCAAGGGGTTTGGCCGAAGCTTCATGCAGTGGAATGTCCCTGTGTGATCTACCCGAGGACTGTCCTCGTGCTGAGGAACGCTGGTGGGCACTCACCATGCCAGCTCCCCCGGCACCACCCTGACTYGGGGCTGATGGCCTCGGCTGAGCTGAGCTGGGAAACACCTTCCTCTCCTGGCAAGACTCTGGTGATGACCTGGGGACACATGAGATGGGCCCTGTTCTCGAGCCACCTTTGCCGGGGCACGCCCAGACCCCTTTCCCAGGGCTTTCTGGGACCCTGGAACTTGTCCCCATCTGGTGGCCTCCCTTTCCGCAGTCCGTGCGTCTGGCTGTTGGTAGGTTCCTGGATCTGGAATTCCCGAGAGTCTGGGCCTCCCATGGGCTTGCTGGCCTGGGTCTACCGAGAGCTGTCTTCCCTGTGGGCAACTGAGAGGCTGTCAGAGTGGACATGGGGTCTTCTGGGAATTTCAGGGTGTCTCTGAGTCCCTTCTTGTTGACGAGGGACTTGTTCCTGGCTGCCATTTTCCCGAGATGCTGGCCTGGGGGTGGGGGTATTTGCACAGTCAGGTCCTGGGTGAGGGACTTCCCTTCAGAAGTTAGGGAGTCTCCCTATCCATTGTCCTGGGTCCTAAAGGGCACTGCCCAGGCCATGCCAGGCTCGAGGGGGATGGGTGAGACTGCCTGCCCTTCCACGGCCCTCCCTTCTCCCAGGGCGCCCAGGGTGGGGTGGAGCTGTGGACCTCCATCTGGTTCACAGTGGGACCCTCTGCCTGAGTCGCAGGAGGTCCTCAGTGGACGTGTACAGGAAGAATTAACACAGGCGCCGCGCTCTCCCCCYGGGGCCGGCTGCCGGCAGGCTACACAGCTGGAGCTCAGCTGCGGCCGCGGGCTCCTCCTGGCAGGAGGGTGCTGCGAGCTCCCCTGGGGCTTGGCAGGAGGCAGGGGCTCACCCACAGCCCGGGCCCCCATGGCTTGGGCTCCCCTCTCCCCAGCAGCTCAGAGTGGGGACTTGAGGCTGGGGGCGGAAGGTGCCAGAGGCTCGGCCCTCTTCCTGCARCGCGAGTGGGAGTCTCAGGGTGGGCCCCCTCGAGGGCTGAGGGGCCTGGGAAGACCTCAGAGGGGGCGGCTTTTGAGGGGGGAACACATTTGAACTCACCTCCGGGGCAGGGGGACAGGACGGGAAGTGCATGAGCTGCATGTCCCTGATTCCAGTTGATCTTACGGGAAGAAAATGCAGAAGGTTCCGTTTCCGTTCTCAACAACAGAAGCCTACGAGGACCTGGCTAGTCAGCCCCTGGTGTGGGGGAACCTGGTTCCTGCCCAGGAGCCAGCATCCTGGGGGACTGCGTGGCCCAGGGTGCCTCCTGGGGTGCCCCATTTCTGGGACGGGGAGAGCAGGTCCCGCCAAGCCCAAGGGCTGGTCCAGGCTTTCCAACCACAGAGGCCTGAGCCAGCGCCTGCTCTCCTCGGTGACGGGAAGGGGCAGGCGGTGGTTTGGCTGAGGGTCTGGGACTGTCATTCTTGTTTTCCATGACATCTTGCAGAGCACCAGTGTGCAAAACAGCCCCAGATCTTTAACACTTTGCTCAGGGGAACCTCCTGCCTCTGTGTGGCYGGGATGCTCTGAGCCGGCACGCCCCCTGCCTGGTGGCCCAGGGGCCAGCCTCTCTGACCTTCTAGACTCTGGCCTAGACCTGTCTGTCTCCTCCTGTCCCCTGGGTTGAGCAGTGGGGCCAGTCTGAGGACCCACAGATGTCACTGGCTCAACCCACAGAGGTCCCCTTCAGGTGCAGTGCCCTGGCCAGGCCTCCTCCTCCTCTGGGATGGACGCCCCTGCGGAGGGCTCTGCTGTCAGCTTGCAGGCCCCTGGTGGCCTGGCTGCCCCTGCCTGTGTGCCCCACCCCAGAGTCAGATGCAGCCAGTGTGTGCATGGCTGGACGGGATTCGCCATCCGCCTGGCTCTGCCCCTCCCGCAGACCCTGGGGCAGACCCCTCCGTCCCCAGGCCTGGGTCATCTGTGAGGACGGCGAGGGACTGCACTGGCCCTGCTTCCCCTTTGGCCCCTTCTCGGGGGCAGACTCCTCAGCACAGGCCCCGGGCTGGGTGCAGAACCAGTGGGGAAGGCGGGCAGCAGAGCTGGGGGTGCAAATGAGGGAGCTCCCAGGGTTAGAGTCAGCGAGCCCAGTGAGGACCGGAGTGGCGCGGGGAGGTCGAGGCCTCACAAGCCAGGCACTGCTTGAGCCGTGGGCACAGTCCTGCCCCCTGGACATGGCCTGCTCCCTGGAACTTCATATCTGCTGGATGAGACCAAGATTGATTTAAATGACAAACCAGACATTTTTCACAAATAAAAGAAAAAGAAAAAGGGATGTTGCTCGCAGGACTTCCCGCAGGATCAGGGAATGGAGGAGGGTTCTGGGCAGGGCGGTGGCTGGCACAGCTGGGTTGGCGGAGGGCGTGGGGGTGCGTGTGGCTCTCCCTCCAGGCCACACTGAAGGGTCCTGGTGCTGTCTGTGGCCAGGACAGAGGAGGGCAGCATGACCGGTGGGGTCACGGGTGCCACCCCTGCTGATCTCATGGTGCCCTTGGGAGGGCAGCAGTGGGCCGCCTGCAGGTGCCCCCACGGTGTGTTCAGTGCGCTCTGGCAGCTAGGAGGCCCCCTTTAGAGAGAGCTGGGGTGGGGGCAGGAGGCCCAAGGCYGGGGCTGCCCGTGGGCAGAAGGGGTTGAAGGCCCATCCTCTCCTGCCTCCCTGGCTCTGCCCAGTGGGGGGGCTTCCTAGAAGGAAGGGTGCGGTGGCTGGGTGGGGGGCCTTCTCTGGACCCTGAGACCACACTCCTCAGAGGGCAATGACCACAGAACCTCGTGACATCAGGAGGACCAGAGCTGCCCTGAGTCAGTGCTGGGCTGGAGCCCTGGCAGAGTGAGCTGGCGGGCACGGCATGCTGTAGGCAGAGGCCTCCGGCGGTGTGGCCCCTGGTGACCAGCTCCCGGTGGCCTGGAGGCCAAGACCTTGCCAGCAGAGCTGCCCCCAGTCCACCATGGACAGCCCCACCTGCTGAGCCTCCTGATGCTGGAACGGTGCCCTCTGTCCAGCAAGCTGGAGCAGGTCCTGGGCCTATAGGAAGCGAGTTTTCCAGGGTGTCCAGTTTCCTCCTCCTTTTGCAGGGGTGGGTGCCCACGTGTCCCCCAGTGGTGCCTGCTGGCCGAGGCGGATTTGCAGCTTGACTCTCGGTTCCTGCAGGCAGCCTGGCCGGAGGGCAGTGCCTCAGTCTGCAAGCCAGGAGTCGGGGAGCGCGGGTCAGTGTGGGCTTCYGTGCTGGGACGCCAGGGACTGGGTGACTTACACAGCGGAAGTTCGTATTCTCGCTGTCACGGCAGCTGGAGGTCAAGATGAAGGTGCTGGCAAGTCTGGGTCCTGGAGGGATCAGGGCCCCACCTGCCTGACCTCACTCTACCTTCATCCCCTCCAGAAGGACCCTGGCTCCAGACGTGGTTGCATTGGGGTTAGGGCCTCAACAAATGTGTTTTCGAGGGAGAAACCTCAAGTTCCTAACACGCTGGGTCCCCAGATAGATTCACTTGGGTCTTCTCTGGACCTGGGCATGGACCTAAGCCAGGCCTTGGTGGGGAAGGCCCTAAGACGAGGGCCGAAGGCGGGCAGGACTGGCTCCGCTCCCCAGGACTGCGCACACAGCGGCAAACCCCGCTGCCTGTAGCTTTCCCTTTGAGATAAACCACTTCTGTGGTGTAGAGGTGGAAGGGAATCGGCGGCCATGGAGGCAGCTCCGTGAGCATGTGCCTGTGCACAGGGAGGCGGGGAGGGCCTGTCCCTCCGAGGCCAGTCCCCAGGCCCTGCCTTCTGGTGAACRCACCTAGCTTTGCTTCAGGTCTGAGCTTGGCTGAGGCTTTGGTGTGGCTGGTGTAGGATCCCTGGGCTGTATGTCCCACAGCTGGGGCTCAGAGGCCAGACTGCCCGGGAACAGCCCCCCAGGCTGGCCTCCGGCACTGGAGGATCTGCCTCTCAGCCTTCTGGGAATCCCCCACGCAGGATGAGCCGAGGACACTGGCTCRGCTCCCTGGTGTGCACAGCTTGAGAGCATCTGGGATGTCCCCATGCTGTGAAGCAGAGGACCCGAGGACAAGCTCTGTCCTGGGACTCTAGGCTGCACAGGGACCCCAGCTCCTCCCTTGCGTCTGCCCCTGGTGGGAGCCTGCATGAGGACCCCAGGCCCGCCCCTGTGTCTGCCCCTGCTGGGCTCACCCTTGGGCCCACTCAGGGGCTACGCCCCTCTGGGGGTACTGAGGAGGAGTCCCTTCCAGTCTTGCACAGCCCCTTGGGTCCTTGTTGTCCGTGGTCCGTGCTCCCTGCTCGCCTGCAGGCTCTGTCCCTCTGGGCCTGCCGGTCTGCCTGCTGCTCTGCCAGACGCRTCTGGTTCCCATTAGGCTCCTGAGGAGGGGTGCCGTTGGTGTGGTGAGCGCAGATGAACAGAGTCCCCAGGAATGTGGGGCCAGCTCAGGCCATGTGTGCTCGGGAGCCCTGAAGGGAGGGCCAGGGCTGAGCAGAGCTGGAGAGGTGAGGTTGGCGGGGTGGGGGCCAGAGTGGGGGAGGGGGCTCCGGCTGACAGGCTTGCCTCGGTTCTGCCCTGCTTGAGTGTGCCCCAGCCACAGAGTGACCACTGCCTCTCCTGAAGCGGCTTTGCTCGGGTACTCGTGGTGGGGGACCCTGGGCAGTGCTCTCCAGCATGGCCGTGGGGAGGCAGGCGCTTTGGCGAGTGCTGTGGTTTCTGAGCCAGCTTGCTCCAGGGAAGCCCTGCTCTGGCCGACAGCTCCCCGGGTTCACGGAGCCCCAGCAGCTCACGCGCTCCACACCGCACCAGCACCTTGGCCTCCAGCGCCTGCTCCTCCACGGTGCCAGCCCTGGCCCCCAATCCTATATGCAATGACGGTCACTGTTTCCCAAACTCGGGCCAGGCTGGCTGCCCCTGGGGTTGGCAGCATCTCCACCCCAGGGAGCATCTTGGGGTGACACCTGGCCCCCACGCTCAGCGCTTCGGTAACGGGGCAGAGGTTGGCTCGGACAGCACAGCTCTGACGCAGGCCGGTGGCAGACGGTCTCACCCGCCCGGCCGGGGAGCAGCACATATCTGTGGTTTCCCTGCTGAGCTTGGGGCCCATTCCTCTCTAACCACAAGGCGATGGCCAGAGACTTGATTGTAACCAAATCTGTACCAAGGAGCTGGCTGCTGCTTCTGGTGGAGGCACAGGGCCACCTGGGCCAGCCAAGGCCATGCCTGCTACCCATCCGTGGGGTACACAGCTCCCCACTGGGCCACTGTCGCCACGGGGCCTGTGCCTGAGGGGCTCAAGCATGAAGGACGGAGATGCGGCCTCTGCTTGTGGCCTCACCTGGTACCATCCTTGTGACCTCTGAGGGGACTGGGCACTGGGATCTGGTTCCAGTGAGGCGTGGCCCTTCTAGGGTGGGAGGGGGCGGCTCCGGTGTCCTAGGAGCTGGTGGCCAGGCCTGCACGGCACAGTGGCCACCCACAGTGGCTCCACACCCGCCCCTCTGCCCCGTCCTCCAGGGAGCATGCTGGCTGTTCCTGGCCACTGTCCCTCTTGGGCCTCTCARAGGCCTGGGGTTGGCGTCCTCTGGTGGGGAGAGCAGGGCTCTGTTGAGGCAGGAGAGTCCGAAGTGCCTCTGTGTCCCGCCCTCAGGAGAGCAGAACTGGGGGGTCCTGAGCATGGCCACCGACCTCCAGACCTGAGGGTGGCTGAGAGCTCAGTCAGCCTGAGGCCTGCCGCGCCTGCTCCCAAGGCCCACCAGGCTCCCAGGTCCAGGACAGCGACACAAAGGCAGAGGGCCCGGAGGCTGCAGGAGGTGGCCGCCTCGTCCTGCTCCTGCCAGCCTGGGGTGAGGTCTGGGAGCAGGCTGTCCCCTCAGCTGACTTGGGCTCCTTTCTGTGTCCCCAGCCGTCAACTCCTGTGCCTTGGGCCATGGCGGCTGCCAGCACCAGTGCGTCCAGCTCACGGTGACACGGCACCGCTGCCAGTGCCGGCCGGGCTTCCAGCTGCAGGAGGACGGCAGGCGCTGTGCCCGTGAGTGCCACCCTCCTGGGAGGGGCRGGGACTCTCCAGACACCCTGCCCTTCACAGACCTGCCCAGGACCTGAAGCCTGGGCTGGAGAGCTGGGCGGAGGCTGGAGGGGACCCTGGGGGACCTGGTCCAGGAGGGAGGGAGGGCCTGAGCGGGGCCTGGAGGCTGGGCTCTGGGGTTGACACCAGGGGCAGGAAGCCAGTACGGGATGGCACGCCAGACGCCCACCCGGAGCCCAGGCCCTGCGCAGAAGAGGCAGCCAGGCCCCCTCAGCCTGTGCCCGTGGGACCTGGAGCTGCCCGCTTGGGGGCTGTGCTGAGAGGGTGGGCAGAGCAGGAGTGGGACAGGTGCTGAGAGCCCTCTGCATCCTGGCCCCGGGGCCTTCCCAGCAGGGCAGTGAGTGTGGCTCCAGGTCCACACCAGCCGTGGGCACAGATGGAATGGGTCACGGGGCTGAGAGTCACGGTGCCAGGGGGCTAGAGCGCCATGGATGTCACAGGGCTGGGGGTGGCACAGGGCTGGGGGTGGCACAGGGTTAGGGATCACAGGATGGGTTGTCACAGGGCTGGGGGTCACAGGGCTGGGGGTCACGGCTGGGGTGTCACAGGGTTAGCGGTCACAGGGCTGAGGGTCACAGGGCAGAGGGTATCATAGCCAGGGTCCACAGCCCTGGTGTCCACTCTGGCACCTCAGTGCTAAGACAGGACTTTGAAGGGGCTGGCTGACCACTGCTGGGCAGGCCGGGGCTGGCTGACCACTGCTGAAGGCCCTGGTCTGGTTGGGCCTCCCTTCCTGGTGTCCCCCGGCCTCCTGGGAAGCCCGCGACCGAGTGCTGGGGGTTCATGGGAGGCAGGCAGCTGGTGTCCCGGTGGATGCTCAGGGGAGCCCTRGCCTTTCCTGAGGCCTTGGGCTTCCCACATCTGGGAGGGACCCTTGGCCCAGGCTGGAGCAGGAAGCGGTGGGAGGTCCCAGGGCTGGTGTCACCAATCTGCTGGTCCCACCCTGATCCCTCCCCTTCCCCATTCCTCTGCCTGCACTGCAGGGAGAAGCCCGTGTGCAGATGGGAATGGCGGCTGCATGCACACGTGCCAGGTGCTGCGGGGCCTGGCCCACTGTGGGTGCCGAGCGGGCTACCAGCTGGCTGCCGACCGCCAGGCCTGTGAAGGTGGGCCCCCTGCTCCACCTGCCCATGTCACTGCAGTGTCCCTGGACACGTGGCTCAAGTGGGTGGGAGGCCGGGTGAGGAGCACCCYGGGAGCTGCCTCCAGCAAGGCTCGTTGTGACGGGGCTGCTGAGGTTTCACCCCGAGGTCTCTTGCAGTAGGCAGCCATAGCTGCTGTTGGGAACTGGGGAGAGGGCAGCAGAGTGGGGCTGCCCGAGGAGCCCGACAGAAACCGCCGCCGTCCCTGGTGCTGTTCTCTGGGGCTCCTTGTTAAATGGTGCTTCGTGTCAGGTCACGGTCGGGAGATATTGGCTGATGGCCTTTCTGCTTCCCTGCTGCTGTCCAGCTGCAGGGCCCTGCTGTGCCTGGGCTCGACCACAGGCCTGGGTGTCCAGCATCCCTGGCTCTCGCCCGTGGCCAGCACGGCTGGGAAGAGCAGCCCTGTGGTGTGTGGCRGCTGTCCTTGGCCTGTGACCTTTGGGCCAGTGATAATTCAAGGGGTGTCCAGAGAGGCAGTGGTCAGTTTCCATGGTGTCCCACCAGATGGCCAGCTGCCCACAGGGCCTRGAAGTTCATGCTTCCCCTCCCCATGAGGATCAGGAAGTGGCCGCTGGTGTGGAGGTTGAGCCTGTCACTCTGGGTGCAGGTGGCCGCCACAGGCTCAGATGAGCCCAGCTCAGGGTCAGCCTCATCCTGAGGAATCTGCTGGGGTGCGGCTGTTGCCGTTGCCGGGACAGCGGAGTTTGGTCCTGACCGCCAGTGTGTGTGGCCTCAGGCCAGCATTACTGTGCCCGGGTGCCYGTGGTCATGAGCTTCCTCCACTGTCCCTGGGGAGTGAAAAGACATCTCCCGTGCCCTTAGACCTGCCTTTGGTCTCTCCGCTCCAGACGTGGACGAATGTGCCTCAGGGCTGGCCCAGTGTGCCCACGGCTGCCTCAACACTCAGGGGACCTTCAAATGYGTGTGCCACGCAGGCTACGAGCTGGGTGCTGACGGCCGGCAGTGCTACCGTGAGTGGGCAGCGAGCGGCCGCTGGGGTGCTGAGGGTGGCCRCGTGGCCCTCAGCCCTCAGCCCTCAGCCACTTAGCCGCCCTCAGCACCCTGGGCTAGCTTCTGGGCCCATGGGGAGGCCCTGGATTCCAGTCCCCGTCCCCTACCTGCTGGCCTTGTCCTGTCACAGGGATCGAGATGGAAATTGTGAACAGCTGCGAGGCCGGCCGGGGCGGCTGCTCCCACGGCTGCAGCCACACCAGCGCAGGGCCCCTCTGCACCTGTCCCCATGGCTACGAGCTGGACGAGGACCAGAAGACCTGTGTTGGTAGGAGCGGGTTCCATCCAGGGCAAGCCGCCTGCCCACTGGACACAGGCTGCCACCTGGGCCTGGGGCTGGGGTGACACCCTGACTCGGAGGCCTCCCCTGCCTCCCCGTCCCTGCCCTGGCTGCTTGGGCTGGCCAGGGGGTGCTGACCTGGAGAGGGGCAGCGTCACAGTCCAGAAGGACCTGGCTGCCTGCAGGGCACCACCTGACACACTTGGCCCCACCTTGGCCCTGGCTGTGAAGTGTGCTCTGTGTGTGGTTGTGTGCAGTGTGTGGTAGTGTGCAGGTGTGTGGTTGTATGTGGTTGTGTGCAGTATGTGGTAGCGTGCAGGTGTGTGTGGTTGTGTGTGGTTGTGTGCAGATATGTGTGGTTGTGTGCAGGTGTATGTGGTTGTGTGTGGTGTGTGAAATGTGGTTGTGTGCAGGTGTGTGTGGTCATGCAGGTGTATGGTCATGTGTGGTGTGTGGTAGTATGCAGGTGTGTGTGGTTGTGTGTGGTGTGTGATATATGGTTGTGTGCAGGTGTGTATGGTCGTGTGCGGTGAGTGGTTGTGTGCAGTGTGTGGTAGTGTGCAGGTGTGTGTGGTTGTGTGTGGTGTGTGGTCATGTGCAAGTGTGTGGTAGTGTGTAGATGTCTGTGATTGTGTGTGATGTGTGGTCATGTGCAGTATGTGTGGTTGTGTGCAGGTGTGTGTGGTCATCCAGGTGTGTGGTCATGTGCAGGTGTGTGGTCATGTGCAGGTGTGTGGTCGTGTGCGGTGAGTGGTTGTGTGCGGTGTGTGGTAGTGTGCAGGTGTGTGTGGTTGTGTGTTGTGTGTGGTCGTGTGAGGTGTGTGGTAGTGTGCATATGTCTGTGGTTGTGTGCAGGTGTGTGTGGTCGTGTGCAGGTGTGTGTGGTCATGCAGGTGTGTGGTAGTGTGCAGGTGTGTGTGGTTGTGTGGTAGTGTGCAGGTGTATGGTCGTGTGCAGTGTGTGGTAGTGTGCAGGTGTGTGTAGTTGTGTGCCATGTGTCGCTTTGTGCAGGTGTGTGACTGTGACTGTGTGGCTTTGTGCAGGTGTGTGACTGTGATTGTGTGTGTGTGTGTGCAGGTGCGTGCCCCTGGGTGTAGGCGTGAGGCAGTGTGGCTGTCGCAGGTTTGTGTGGAGGTGACGTGGCCATGTGCACAGTGGTTGGAGGGCAGGAGGCTGGAGGCGTGTGTGGCTGTGTGGGCGTGTGGTGAGCGTGTGCAGGGCAGTCTGCGGGGCTGTGGGGCGGGTGTGGAGGCGCCGGGTGCCAGTGGCCTGCCGTGTGCCCTGCAGACGTTGACGACTGTGCCGACTCCCCGTGCTGCCAGCAGGTCTGCGCCAACAGCCCCGGCGGGTACGAGTGTGGCTGCTACGCCGGCTACCGGCTCAGCACCGATGGCTGCAGCTGTGAGGGTGAGCGCCTGCCGGCCCGCGGGCAGCTGGGCGACTAGGGCARGGACAGGCCAGCGCGGCCCTCCCATGGTGCCGGTCTTGTGCCCCMCCCCCCGGCATTCATGGAGTGCCTGCCGACTGCAGTGTGCTGACCCGCCCTCCCTGCCTCTGGCCTGGGGYCCCTGGCCACTCTCCGGGGCTGGACCTGCAGACCTGGCTGCTCCCTGAGTTTCTCTCCCATTGTGGCCGCCCTCAGGCGGTGTCTGGTGTCACTCTGCCCCTGGGGGTGAGGACAGCGGGAGAGGCCAGCTGCTCGGCTCCGTCCACAAGCAGGGCCAGGACTGGCGTGGCCCCTGCGGTTCTGACCCAGGCGCACAGTCCAAGTGGTCCCCTTTCCCGCAGACGTTGATGAGTGCGCCTCCGGCCACGGCGGCTGTGAGCACCACTGCACCAACATGGCCGGCTCCTTCCAGTGCTCTTGCGAGGCCGGCTACCGGCTGGACGAGGACCGCAGGGGATGCACCCGTGAGTCTCCCCTCCCGGCACCCCTGCGCCACTGTGGCTGGCCCCACACCCTTGCCTCCTGGGCCTGCGTGGCCCTGCGTGGTGCTGCCCCCTACTGTGGGGGTGGGGAAGGGAGCTGGCCACACAGGGCATCTCCCAGGGCCAAGTGTACGGGGTCTAGCTGGGCCCTGACCAGGTGAGGGGACATCAGGGGGCAGCCGGGACTCTGGGCCTCTGTGTCCCTCCCCAGCTCTGGAGGAGCCCACGGTGGACCTGGATGGCCAGCTGCCCTTCGTGCGGCCCCTGCCCCACATCGCRGTGCTGCGGGACGGGCTGCCGCAGCTCTTCCAGGACGACTCTGGGGCCGAGGAGGAGGAGGAGGCGGAGCTGCGGGGAGAGCACACGCTCACTGAGAAGTTTGGTGAGGGGGGCCCGGCTTGGAGCTCCTGTCCTCAGGGACAGCCAACCAGGCTCCTTCACCCTGTGGCCTTGGGCATACGGAGGGAGCTGCCGGGGCCCAGAGAAGTGCAGCTCCTTGCCTAGTTTGCACAGCCCGACGGGGGCTAGAGCAGGTCCCCGGCTCCCAGGTCGGCTTGCCCGGCCTCATCCCACCTCACGCTTGTGGATCCTCCCGGCTAAGGGTGTGCCTTGGTCCTCTTCCTGACCCAAGGGCCCGAGTCCAGCCCCTGTGCCTGCCAAGCCCAGGCAGGGAACGAGGCTGGGGCCAGGCTCTGAGTCCCTCTCTGTCCACCCCAGTCTGCCTGGGTGACACTTTTGGCCAGGATTGCAGCTTGACCTGCGATGACTGCGTGAACGGAGGGACCTGCCTCCCAGGCCTGGACGGCTGCGACTGCCCCGAGGGCTGGACCGGGCTCATCTGCAATGAGAGTGAGGCCATGGGCAGGGCTGGGCGCCGGGCAGGGGGCCTCTGGGCCCAGACCTGAGGGCAGCCCACTCGGTGTTGCTCCTCCTGGGAGTCCTGGGCAGGGGGCTTGAGGGTCCGTCCATCCGTGCATTCCTCGTTTCTTGATAAGTTCTGCTGCTTGGGTCTGTGCCGGGCACTGCTTGGTGCTGCCCAGGGACAAGCCCCCGGCGTATGAGGCTCCGCCTCAGTCTCCAGGGGCTCGGCTACAGCCATACCCCAAGGCACCCGGGGCAGGGGCGTCTGGGAAGGGAGTGGTGGGGGGCTTCTCTGGTGTAGGTAGCCAAGATGTCCTGCGTCCCCCAGGAGCAGGGACCCCGGGGTCACATGGCAAGCTAGTGGCTAAAGCACTTTCAAACTCCCTCGGTCCAGAGCCGTCCACTCCCTGCCCAGCACCCCAGAGCAGGGTGGCCCTGGAGGCCAGGGCTCTTCTCCAGGGCCACGGGCCATGCCTGGTTTGAAAGGGCTGGTTCAGAAGGACCCGAGTCTTTTCGTTGGAGGGAGAGGTTGGTGGTCGGAGGGTCTCTGCCACAGTGTGGTGGAGGCCTAGCACAGATTGCTCCAGCCACAGAGTGGCCGCTGTCAGGTCTGCTGAGTGTCCAGGGTGGGGCGGACTCTGGGTCCAGGGTCCCTCTGGCCACTGACCCTGGTGCTTCCCTCTCCCCTGTAGCTTGTCCTCCGGACACCTTTGGAAAGAACTGCAGCTCCCCCTGTGGCTGCCAGAACGGAGGGACCTGCGATCCTGTGACGGGTGCCTGCCGCTGTCCCCCAGGTGTCAGCGGGACTCACTGTGAGGACGGTGCGTGCAGCCCCTGGGGCAAGGGGGCAGGGGCATGTGCCACCACCCTCCCCGCCTGCATCCTCCTAGGCACTGCTGTGCTCAGGAGCCGTGAATGCGGTCCTTGCTCCGACCCCTGCCCCTGCCTCCGGGGCTGAGGCTGGGAGGGAAGGAGGCCATTCAGTGGGACAGCCTTCATTTCTCAGTGTGGCTCGTCTTCCAGGGCTTGACTCTAGATGGGATAGGCTTGAGGGATGATGTCTTTGCAGTGGGCACCGTGAGTAGGTAGAGAGCCTCCTGTTCCTGGAAGCATTCAAGTAGAGCTGGGTGTTGGCTGGCTGGGGTGTGCAAGAGGGTGTTCTGCCTGGGTGGGTGGCCGTGGGGGTGATCCTGCGTGGGGTGATCTCGGCTATCTCAGTTTATGGAGAAATCAGGRTCCGTGGAAATAAGTTTCCTAGGAGCTAACGCTTGTCTCTGGGCCTGCAGACCTTCTGGGCCTGCCCTTTTGGCTGGAGAGGAGGGGATGCCAGTTCAGCTTCCTGCCTGAGCGAGAGGAGGCACAGTCGACAGACACTGACCCCCACGCTCTTTGTGGCACATGCTGGGCTCTGCGGGCTGGTTGTTCGGGGGCAATAGAGTCCCCAGGCTGCCATGTGGCTTTCTAACTCTTCCCTGTGGTCAGCGTCCCTGCTGTCCTTTCCCCCTCCTCTGCCGTCACTGTCACGCAGAGGCTGATAATCCCATGACTTGGGGGCCGGAGTGCACAGGTGGGTGTAGGCAGGGCACACCTGGCAGGTGAGGATCTGAATCTCAGTGCTTCTGCTTTGTGTTATCCACCTGGTCTCCCAGAGACGGGTCTTGGGGTGTCCTGTGGAGGGCCACCAGAGGCCCTGCTAGTAAGTGCTCCTGTGCAGGTCAGCGGAGGGAGGGCTGTCCCCGGAGACAGGCAGGTGAGTTTCAGGGTGCTGTTGGTTTCCCAGGCCACAGGCTCCCCTTGGCTGTGGTCTCTGCTCGAGACTTCACAGAGCCCTGCCTCTGCCCCTAGCCTTCCTCTTCCTGTCTCAAACCCGCCTGCCTGGACCCTGACGCTGGTCATTGGATTTAGGTCCACCTGGGCAGTGCAGGGCAGTCTCATCCTGAGAGCCTGGGGACTAGGACGTGGACAAAGCTCTTGGGGGTCCACCCTTAACCCACTATAGCCACTTGAATGGGAGGAAGGACAGGGCAGGGCAGAGCCAGAGGGAAGGACAGCGCTGCCCGGGGCCTCCTGAGGTTTGGGCTGGGCCTTGGCCTGGTGGGGCCTTGTGTCCTTCCTGCTTTGAGGCAGGGAGGTCGGGTTTGGTGCTCCAGGTGTGGTCAGGTGCTGGAGCACTGGACACGAGCTCYGGTCCCTCAGGGGTGTGCTGGGGATGGACTTGGCCACCCATTCTTGTCACGGACCCTGGGGGTCCTGGCTGACCCAGCTGGTGGCCTCATCTAGGAGATCCATCTCATGCCCCTGGCAGATGCTGCTCCTGGCTCTTATGCTGGACTCGGCCTGCATGTCCCTTAGATAGGGGTCACTCTCTGAGTCTCACTGGGCCCCCACCCTCAGGCTGCCCCAAGGGCTTCTATGGCAAACACTGTCGCAAGAAATGCCACTGTGCCAACCGGGGCCGATGTCACCGCCTCTACGGGGCCTGCCTCTGTGACCCGGGGCTCTATGGCCGCTTCTGCCACCTGGGTGAGTCCTGCTGCCCCTGCGATGTCTGAGCTGACTGCTGTGTGGGGGGCGGGCAGTCCTCGTCCTGTGCCAGCCACACACTGCCAGCCGGGRTCCAGGGTCTGTTCCTGGTCTGGGGATGCCAGTCCATGTCCTCCACTGCAACTGGGCTGTCCCCAGCCTGTGGCACCCCCAGCCCCGGCCCAGAGAGGTGGGAGGACAGAGGCCCGAGCGTCCTCCCAGGCCTGGTGGTCACACAGCCCCAGGGGCCACAGGCAGGCAGGAAAGGGACGAGGCTTGGCAGGAGAGGCAGAGAAGCTCCCTCCTTCATCTGCACAGGAGTGTGCCCCCTGCCTAGGGGAAGTGGGGTGACCCGGGCAAGTCCCTGAACTTCAAAGACCCTGGGGCTCATCTGCCAAGTGGACACACGGGCTTCAGCCCCCTGGGCATGAGAAGAGGTGCTCCGAGAGGTGCCCCGATTCCCAGACACGGCCCCCAAGGGGCACAGCCACAGAGGCCCATCGCCTTCACCCTGTGTTGGGGACAGGGGGTGCCGTGGGCAGCCCTCTCATGGCTATGTGGGTGCAGCCTGCCCGCCCTGGGCCTTCGGGCCGGGCTGCTCCGAGGAGTGCCTCTGCGAACAGTCCCACACGCAGTCCTGTGACCGCAGAGATGGCACCTGCTCCTGCAAGG